CCCCGGCTTTTGGACGATCCCCCGGCTTTTGGACGACCCCCCGGTTTTTGGACGCCCCCCCGGCTTTTGGTGCTCTTCTCGGACGGATTTTGGCTACGACCCGGACTTGGCTACTGACGGACAGAATCTGACGATTCTCTGTACTTCCCCCAATAAACCTGGTTGCCTGCATTTTGGTGTTGGTGTGGTGACATGCTAACGTGCCTTGGACCTTCCCAGGCTGACCAGTGTCTTCTCCTTCCATGAGGGCTGTACCTCACAGGCATCTATGGCTTGGGACATCAAGGGTGGAACAATAACACTCTTATTACCTCTTTTTTTATCACTTCCTGCACAGGACAGTAATTTTAGTTATTACATACAAGCAGCATTACCACCTGATCTTCATCAGGAAGGACACTTTGACTTACTTCAGGTTATACAAACCGAGTTTTTCGTGAGTGCTTTGACTGGTTTCTTTCCTTGATTGAAAGACTCATCCAGCTGTTTCACATTAACATCAGTGACATACGCATGTGAGCAACAACTCAATGCTGAAGTGAAATCTGTGGCACATGCATGATTAAAGGAGACTGACCAATCAGCACACAGCAAGAACTCCGTGCTTAAGTGAAATCCAGGTCCTTTTAATGTGAATTGGTATTATTTTACAAATCCTAGCTCAAATTGTCATTCCTGACAAGTATCGGGGGTAACCCTACATGCAAGCCAGTTAGCTTGCCCTGTCTTATTCGTTAATCGTAAGCTTAGCGGGCTGCTTCAGTGCTGATCGGAAGCTGATGTACGACTGCAAGTCACACTGTAATTAGCAGCACTTGCTTGCGTGCAGGCGTGCACTAGAACGCGCTTCAGAGTCCCGCGTCAGCAGAATGCTAACCGCACATAGCTGGACAGTGGCGCTTCATCAGCCTTTTAACTCTCACTGAAGACTCTGAGGCATTGAAGCTAATTGCTTTCTTTTTCAAACTAACCAGAGGTTTCACAGCTTGAAGTCAGCAGGCCTTGCTACACCACTGCATGACATGCAGCCTTTGGCTGTGTCTCATGCTCATCCACGGCCTCGGGAGCCTAGGGAGGGATGGTTACACTCTCCTTTACATGCCTGTTAGCACTTTCTGTACATGGTATTCATCTCACGTGTTACTTACAAGCCATTCAGCTTGCCTTGCCTTATTTGTTAAACTAAGCATTAGCTTTGCGGGTTTCTAGATCCAAGTCCGGAATATGTGCAGTATGTATGTTTTATTAGTAGGCAGAGAGGCTGCGGTGAGCTAGATAGGGTCCCAACACCAAAGATGGGTCTGAAATATCCATGACACAGGTAGCCATGGAATCGGGCTTGTACGTCCAGAGGGAATATAAACAGAGTGACTGGAACAGGGACATTTACAGGGGTGACTTTCACAATAAGCAAAATCCCCCTCGGGGCGCACAGTCCCATTAAACAGCTTCTGTTACACATCACTTACATAGTGTCACGTTCTCTGTATGGATTATTTACATTTATCATGTTTCCATAGCTCCATGGAGTGCGTACATAAATGTATCTTTTTAAGCACGTCTGCGGGTCCTTGAGCAAGGCCCTTAACCCCCAGCTCCCTGGGTGCCGCTATGGGTGGCTGCCCTTCGCGGACAACTTACTCTACAAAGAGCAAGTTGAGGGAGGCATAAAGACAATTTCCCCACGGGGACAATAAAGTATAGATTATTATTATTATTATTATTATTATTATTATTAACCAATAAATGATAAACATGGCCTTAAACCATTGCTCTTCCATAACATGGGAATGAGAATGATGTGGGAAACACTGGAATCATTCTACACACACTGGAAACAAACTTACTTGGTCCTGGGCCCCCCTCCCCTCAGGCTAAGAGTCTGGGTGTCGTCCTCGATAGCACATTATCCTTTCAATCTCACATTAACAATATCACTCGGTCCGCATATTTCCATCTCCGCAATATTAATCATCTCCATCCTTCCCTCACCCCCCATACCACCACTATCCTTGTTCACAGTTTAGTCACTTCACGACTGGACTACTGCAATTCCCTTTTGTTTGGTCTGACCAACAAATCTCTCCATAAGCTTCAAACTTATAAAATACTTCAAAATTCTGCTGCTCGTATTATTACTAAAACCCCCTCTATACATCATATCACCCCTGTCCTGCAGCAGCTGCACTGGCTCCCGGTACCTCTATGCATTAATTTCAAAATCCTCCTCTATACGTTTAAGGCCATCCACAACCTCGCTCTTCCATACCTCTCTGATCTTATTCACATTGCTACTCCCTCTCGTTCCCTCAGGTCTTCCTCCTCTATACGTTTAAGGCCATCCACAACCTCGCTCCTCCATACCTCTCTGATCTTATTCACATTGCTACTCCCTCTCGTTCTCTCAGGTCTTCCTCCTCTATACGTTTAAGGCCATCCACAACCTCGCTCCTCCATACCTGTCTGATCTTATTCACATTGCTACTCCCTCTCGTTCCCTCAGGTCTTCCTCCTCTATACGTTTAAGGCCATCCACAACCTCGCTCCTCCATACCTCTCTGATCTTATTCACATTGCTACTCCCTCTCGTTCC